CAATGCTAGTACGGTAATAACATGTACTTTACCATGTATTACCACAACACGCATGTGTGAAATGGACCCTTAACACAAAACACCCTAACTCCGCGATTTGAAGCGGTGTCTACATACTTTTGACCATATTATGTGATGGTCAGGTGTCCATAAACTTTGTATTAAATATGAAGACCTGCTTAATCTATTAAGTCAATCTGTATCTAATTAGGAAGGCCCTTGCACTGCATAGTTGTTGGTAGATCTAAAGGAGATTGTTATGTGTTGGTGAGCTTAAGATCTACCAACAGCTATGTAGCGCAGGGGCCTGTCTTATTGGATGCAATAGGTAGGTCCTCATATTACATAATTTTTGTAAATCAAAAATTGATTGTACAAAGATTGCATGGTCAGAATGTAATGTGTATGGTAACCCTTAGATGTAGAGTAGGGTTGGCACAACTAATATAGACTAATATACTATAGTCCGGTATAGCATGACATGCATGAGCAGACAGTTTTAAACAGCCAAGAAACTATGGTCATGGACTACATGTAAATGACTCCGGAAGTGTTTAGATAACAGTATTGATATGACTGATACACAGTTTTGTTCAGTAATATTATCAGTACTGATTGGAGATACTTTTTTTTTTTTTTTTTTTTCCTTGAACTTGCTGGCCTGACACATAATGGCTTCATAAATGTTAGTAATTGGTGAGCTATTTGTGCGTGACAACTGTGTTACTAAGAGAAGCAACAGTCCACCAAAGGTACAACTGTAATATTATTGCAACAAACTGTAATATTATTGCAACCTTAACCCTTTTGCAATGGCTGTCCTTTAAATGGGCTTTAATGTTGGAAGGCAGAGCAGCTTTCCACTCGTGTGAATGTTGTGATTGGCAGTTATAGCAGTCACACGATCATTAGACCATCCTGCTAGTTCCCAATCTGAAACCATGACCAAGAGCTATTGGCGAGGCAGCCCATTCATTGTGCTGTGAGCATGCTGTCAGCTCACAACCTAAGACTGTCATGAACCCACATAAGGTTCACATATGTGCGGGGCTGGTTTGCAGTGTGATATGCAAAAGAGTCCGTTGCAGTTGTTCAGGTGCAATTCCAGTGTGAATTGTTAAAGCCTATGACATTGGAAATCGCACCTGAACCAGGCTGAAAATTGTACCAGTCTCTTTCTTAAATTGCACTACGGTTGGCCCGCATATATGTGAACCAGCTCCATAGAAAAGGATTCTGGTTCACTTGTCATGCGAATCGGATGTGGTTCAAAAAGCATCCAATTCGTATATATGTGACCTGGGTTAAAGGATACGTTCACCTGAAGAACAAAACCCCAATATAAATAAATGCATCTTTTTGCAGGTAAAAAAAAAATGTGTATTTTTTTTTTTCTTAGCAGGTACGATACTCTACGAGGTATCAGCAGATTGCAGGTGCAAGGTTCCTGCAGACTCTCAGCATACTGTCTGCCCATACCTCCCGTACAGGCAGGCAGTTGCTGAAGTCCAGGAAGAATCAATGAACTACGAGAGAGCTCACACAGCAGTTCACTTAAAAAATACAAGCCCTCCGATGCAGTGGCTGATGGTACTTGTAGTTTATTCATTCACAGAACTCTGTGATTGAATGATGTGTCTTTGTGGGCAGTATTTGAATTGTGACAGCAGGTGTGGGAAGAAGATCCTCCGCCTGCTGTCACAATGGGGGATCAGGTTGCAGTGCCAGCAGGTGCTTTAGTAACATGTTACACCCTGAACATGTTACTAAAAGAGCATTATTTATCATTTTAAAACCCACTTTTCCTGCTATCACATACAGTGAGTATATAAAAGAATCCCCCCACCCTTTAAAATAATCACATTTCTTTCCTTGGAGCCTGCCATGAAGACAGACAGTTTTTGTTTTATCCAGATGTATTTTTATAAAAATGAAACAGAATTACTGAGTTGGGAAAAGGATCAGCCCCTTGTGTCAGTATTTTGTTGAGCCACTTTTTGCTTTAATTACAGCCTTTAGTCTGTTGGGAATTGTCTGTACTAACTTTGCACATCTAGGCTTTACAATATTTGCCCACTTTTCTTTGCAGAACTGCTCAAGCTCAGGTAAATTTGATGGTAACCATTTGTAGACTGCAGTCTTCAAGTAATTCCATAGATTTTCAATGGGGTTTACGTCTGGGCTCTGACTAGGCCATGCAAAGGTATTCACCTTGTTCTTCAATCACTGTGTGGTCATTATTGCTGTGTGCTTTGGGTCATTGTCACAAATTTGACTGTATTTTGCCCTATCCATTTTTCCTTCTATCCTGACAAGTGCTCCATTTTAGTTTCATTTGACCATAACACCTTTTTTCATGTGGCCTCAGAAAATTCAAGGTGCATTTTCTTGAGAAGTGGATTTTTTTCTTGCAACATAATTTGTGATATTTTCACATGTACACAATGACCACTGGTTTGTCATAAATTCTTGCATCTTCTTTAGAGTTGTTCTAGGCCTCTTGGTAACCTCTCTGACCAATTCCCTCCTGGCTCTTTCATCCAGTTTGGAGTGACATCCTGATCCAGGGAGGTTCTGTGTTGTATCAAATACCTTCACTATGCTTCTAGACATTGATAAAGCCTTTGAAATTGATTTGTATCCATCTCCTGACGTGTGCCTGTCCGCAACTTATCCTGGAGATCTCTTGACAGTGTCTAGCCAACCATAGTTGATTGTTTGCTTCGGTTGCACTATCGGGGACTAAAATGCTCCAGGAAAGCTCTTTACATGCTGAGCTAATCAAAATGACCAGAGCTAACATAGTTGAAAGTCAAATGGCTTTGTGTGCCATTGAGAAGATGATTAGCTACACCTGATTGAGCTTACAAGTCATTTTTAGGAGGGGTGACCACTCACTGATTCTGTTTTTGATTTTTTTTTTTTTTCTGACGTGTTGGTGTTATATCTTTCACTTGGACGTTATAAGTTGCACTGAGTAAATACAGCTGGATAAAACAAAAATGTGTCTGTTTTCATGACAAACAGAATATGATTATTTTAAGGGGGGTATTCTTTTCTATACCCACTGTATATGTGTTACATGGCCTGAAAGTGGTACTCTAGCCAATAAAAAAAAAAAAAATAAATAAAATGAAAATTACATATACATACATAGATTGCCAAAAGTATTGGGAAGCCTGCCTGTACATGCACGTGAACTTTAATGGCATCCCAGTCTTAGTTCGTAGGGTTCAATATTGAGTTGGCCCACCCTTTGCAGCTATAACAGCTTCAACTCTCCAGGGAAGGCTGTCCACAAGGTTAGGAGTGCGTCTATGGGAATGTTTGACCATTCTTCCAGAAGAGCATTTGTGAGGTCAGATACTAATGCTGGACGAGAAGGCCTGGCTCGCAGTCTCCACTTTAATTAATCCCAAAGGTGTTCCATCGGGTTGAGGTCAGTTCCTACACCTCAAACACGCTCATCCATGTCTTTATTGACCTTGCTCAGACATGTTGGAAGGGGCCATCCCCAAGCTGTTCCCACAAAGTTGGGATCATGAAATTGTCTAAAATGTCCTGGTATGCTGACACCTTAAGAGTTCCCTTCTCTGGAACTCAGGGGCCAAACCCGACCCTGAAAAACAACTCCACACGATAACCCCCCCCTCCACCAAACTTTACAATTGGCACAATACAGTCAGGCAAGTACCGTTCTCCTGGCAACCGCCAAACCCAGACACATCCATCGGATTGCCAGACAGAAGTGTTATTTGTCACTCCAGAAAACACGTCTCTACTGCTCTAGAGTCCAGTGGCGGCGTGCTTTACACCATGGCATTCAGCACTTTGCATTGCACTTGGGGATGTAAGGCTTGGATGCAGCTGCTCGGCCATGGAAACCTATTCCATGAAGCTCTCTACACACTGTTGTACTAGTCTGAAGGCCACATGAAGTTTGGAGGTTTTTAGCTATTTACTCTGCAGACAGTTGGTGACTTCTGTGCTCTTCAGCATGCGCTGACCCTGCTCTGTTACGCCCGGCCGGCTTTTGCTGTGCGTTTGCAGAGTGGTAACACCATTCAAACTTCATTATAGGCGTTTGTAGGGCATTTTTAACGCCTGGCAAACGCCTAGCAACCGCCGCTGAACTGCGCATGCGGCGTTTGCCGAGCGTTAACGCTCGGCAAACGCCGGACCAACGCCAAACGCTATAGGGGCATTTGGCAAGAGTTGGTAAAAACAGTCGAATGTGTCAATGAGCCCTTAGATTTGAAACCAGCACAGCCGTGTGGGGCTCAACTCACCTGGCCGCATCACTCATCCACAGTATTCTGTGATTGAGTGCCTACAAGTCCTGACATCCTTAGCGGCTGTGGGCTTGTAGTTTTCAATGAACTACCACGGCACTGTGGTAGTTCATTGAAGCTTCCTGTCAGAATATCTGCTTGCTTGTACATCCTGTACGGCAAGCAGATATTCTGACAGGTCTGCAGGAGACCTGCATGGCATCAGCGATCTACTGATCACTGCACTGGTGCAATGCTTTCCAGGCTCCCTTTTTTTTTTTTTTTTTTTTTTTTTTTTTTTTTTTTTTTACTGCAAAAAAAATGTGCATTTATAATTTTTTTCCAAAAGGTGAACTTATCTTTTTAAAAAGAAAATTAAAATTGAAAGAAGAACTAAATCTTTCCTCCCATCGCTCCCTCACTGGTGCTCACATTTTTACTCGGCTTTCTTCTGGGTTCAGGTTCTTTTCCTTAGTAATATTGTGTCACAAGAATAAATTGATTTTCTTTGTATTCAGAAGTAAAGCACACTAATCACAGAACACACCAATAAGGGAAATCCTTGTGTTACTGATGTTTATGAAGCGCTAGTTGGCTTGTTGACAGATTTCAGATTTTTTTATTGATCATCACTTAGTTTCTCATATTGTTGCACTACAGCTCTCAGCTTTGGATTATTGTGATTTCTCTATTGATTGTCATTTTTTTTCTCTAACCTTGATATTTTAGTCAGAAACTCAACTCTACGTAAACCGACTGGACTCTGTTGAATCAGTTCTGCCATATGAGTATGACAGGTAAGTAGCAAGACTCTCCTACACAGCACTAACCTATAGTAGAAGTTATAGGCCCTTTTCACACAGACACTTCGACCAGGTTTGCCTCTCATTTTTTTCACAGGCAGACCAGATCAGATGGTCCATTCACCCCTATGGACAGGCAGGTGTAAACAGACTATTGGCATTTTTACACCCATTTACCTTCAGGTCCAGTCTGGTCCGTTAAGAAAAAAAGAACGGAGGATCCATCCTGTTTTGTTTAGGCAGATCGGATTGGAGGGTAGTCGGCTGTAAACAGACAGCAGAGTCCATTTACACCTGGCCACTCCTAGTACAGAGCGGGCTTTGTCAGTGTCTGTTCCACTTTAACAGAGTGTCATCTGCCTGCTCTGCTCTGATCAGCAGGGGATCTGTGAGCTGATCCCATGCTGATCGGGAGGGAGTCTGCCCTGTCTGACAGGACCTTACTGTACCTATATGTGTGTGTGTGTGTTAGTACATTCTACTTGTTCTATATTCACAAAAGAAGCTATTTTTTGTGTTTTGAAGCAGCCCTATCTTTTTTTTAATTTTTTTTTGTTTTGGTTTTGTTTTTTTGTCAGTAAATTCTGCTTGTGGCAGGGGCGGACTGACCATTTGGAAACTCGGGCACTGCCCGAGGTCAGTAGGGGCCCCATGAGATGCCCCTGGTACCTTTTTCATAGGCTTTTTTGAGTTTGGACAAGGACACAGGGGCCCCATGATCCCCCTATTCCCCGGGGCCCCATGAGTTGTCAGTCCGCCCCTGGCTTGTGGCCCAACTAAAAACATTGAATCTTCTCATGTCTTTTTGTTTTGCCGGTGCTGAAAAACATAGTAAAATCTGTTCTCTGTGGTTATAAAGTGAACCTATGACATAGTCAGCACATATTTTAAAGTGGAACATTAAGTTCTAAAGGTTTTTTTTTTTTTCTCCCTAAAATAAAAACGTTATACTTGCCTGCTCTGTGCAATGATGTTGCACGGAGTGGCCCTTTACTTCCTCCTCTGGGGCCCCTCACCGGTGCTGTTAGCTTCTCTGAGTGCCCTCTTAGCAAGCTAAGCTGTGTGCTGAGGAGGCATTCATGCAGGTGAACTCCGAGCTGAACCGTGTGTATCTGTAGACACACACAGCTCTGCTTCTCTGTGCAAAATCAACACACCCAGCAGGCAAGTATGACATGTTTGTTATTAAAGAATTATTCCAATATTCACAATCACTTTAAGGGGTCTGTGCAGGCTCTGAACCCAGGGAAACTGGAGGCTGATGGACTGGAAGTAATATAAGGCATTATAGTTAAATTTAAAGTATATTTAAAAATTATTATATTCATGCAAAAAAGTCTCAGCCTTTAGTACTACTTTTAATATAAAAATATTTATTCCCCCCATCCTTCACGTACAAATATTTGGTTTTGCACTATAAATGGCTAATTGTTTTTAACCCCATCATGACAGGTGATATAAAAATCATACATGCTGCTACTACATGTCTTAGTGACAGCAGGCACAGGTAGCTTGTATCAATGGGAGTCTGTTGCATAATATTATATTACAGTCCTGTCTGAAAATCTGCATGTGTTTTTAGGTCTTTTTTTAATTTGTTTTCTTTAAACATTTTGATCTCTGAATCTAATATGTACCAAATTCAACCTCTACAAGTGTGTATATATAGCTCGTCTGTTATTCTGATTGTGGATTAGATATTTTGTTCGCTATCAATATACAGTGCCTTGAAAATGTATTCATACCGCCTGGAAATTTTCCACATTTTGTCATGTTACAACCAAAAACGTAAATGTATTTTATTGGGATTTTATTTTATAGACCAACACAAAGTGGCACATAATTGTGAAGTGGAAGGAAAATTAAAAATGGTTTTCAACATTTTTTTACAAATAAATATCTGGTGAGTGTGGCGTTCATTTGTATTCAGCCCCCTTTACTCTGATACCTCTATCTAAAATCTAGTGGAACCAATTGTCTTCAGAAGTCACCTAATTAGTAAATAGAGTCCACCTGCGTGTAATTTTATCTCATTATAAATACAGCTGTTCTGTGAAGCCCTCAGAGGTCTGTTAGAGAACATTAGTGAACAAACAGCATCACGAAGGCTAATGAACACACCAAACAGGTCAGGGATAAAGTTGTGTAGAAGTTTTAAGCAGGGTTAGGTTATGAAAAAAAATATCCCAAGCTTTGAACATCTCACGGAAGAAATGTTCAAGCCATCATCTGAAAATGAAGAGTATGGCGCAACTGCAAAACTACCAAGACATGGCCGTTTACCTAAACGGACAGGCTGGGCAAGGAGAGCATTAATTAGATTAATTAGAGAAGCAGCCAAGCAGTCCATGGTAACTCTGGAGGAGCTGCAGAGATCCACAGCTCAAGTGGGAGAATCTGTCCACAGGACAACTATTAGTCGTGCACTCCACAAATCTGGCTTTTATGGAACTGTGGCAAGAAGAAAGCCATAAGAAGGCTCGTTTGTGAGAATCCATGTGGGGGACAAGGCAAAACGTGGAAGACAGTGCTTTGGTCAGATGAGACCAAAATTGAACTTTTGAGCCTAAAAGTAAAACGCTATGTGTGGTGGAAAATTAACACTGCACATCACCCTGAACACACCATCCCAACCGAGAAAACATGGTGGTGGCAACATCATGTTGTGGAGATGCTTTTCTTCAGCAGGGACAGGGAAGCTGGTCAGAGTTGATGTGAAGATGGATGGAGCCAAATACAGGCCAATCTTAGAAGAAAACCTGTTTGAGTCTGGAAAAGAGTTGAGACTGGAGCGGAGGTTCACCTTCCAGCAGGACAACGACCCTAAACATACAGCCAGAGCTACAATGGAATGGTTTTGATCAAAGCATATTCATGTGTTAGAATGGCCCAGTCAAAGTGCAGGCCTAAATCCAATTGAGAATCTGTGGTAAGACTTAAAAATTGCTGCCCAATCTGAGCTTGAGCTATTTTGCAAAGAAGAATGGGCAAAGATTTCATTCTCTAGATGTGCAAACCTGGTAGAGACATCCCCAAAAAGACTGCAGCTAAATCGAAAGGTGGTTCTACAAAGTATTGACTCGGGGGGCTGAATACAAATGCACACCGCAAAAACATTTATCTTTTTTTCCTTCCACGTCACAACTATGTGCCACTTTGTGTTGGTCTATCACTTGAAATGCCAATAAAATACATTTACATTTTTGGTTGTAACATGACAAAATGTGGAAAATTTCAAGGTGTATGAATATACGAATAATAAGGCTGTAGCTGGTTACTTCTATATACCACTGTATATAAGTAGTCAAGAATATTTTTTTTTTTCGAGGTTTTTATTCGATTAATTAATTAAGAAAATAATCATTAGTTGCAGCCCTAGCTGACAACACTGGTTGGAATTTCAGTACAACAAAAACCTTGTGTTGTCGTCATCTCAAAGTGGAAGTCAGGAACACTCTGGATAACTAGATAACTGACAGATTAACAATCATTTTCTGTACTTACAGCATTTTAAAGGGTAAAAACAAGGGGATATGTATATATATATTTTTTTTTTTCAGTTAGTTTTTTTGGGGTGTTTTTTTTTTTTTTTTTTTTTTTTTTTTTTTTGCACTGACTTCTTTTTCTTTTTACGTAGCTTTGACTTCTGCAAGGATGAACATGAGAAACATCCTTCTGAAAACCTTGGACAAGTCCTTTTTGGAGAAAGAATTGCTTCATCGCCATATAAAGTATATATTCTTCCTTGTAATACTGTACACAGATTCTTCAGAATTGATACATTGGCAAACTAGAAGAGCGCAGCTACGGCTGCTGACTCGGGCCCCAACCAACCAATTGTTGCTGGGTCCATCCCCTTTTAGGGACCCTGATGTAAGGGGGGGTGACTTTGGGAATCCTAATGAAATGGGGACGTAAGGGAGAACTCTTGGGTCCCTGATTTAAAGAAGGGGGGGGGGAGATCCGGGGGACCCTGATGTAAGGTTGGACTTTGGGATTCTAATGTAAGGGCAAGTGAGAAATCATTCCTGCACAGGCTGCATTTTCGGCCTTCATTTTTATAGGGGAAGGGGTTTATGTAGATGGTCTTGCCTGTGGCTCAATATAGTCCATACAGTATATATATTATATTTGCTTTAATGATTTTATTCTTAAACTTGTCCGCTTCCTTTTGTTCCCAGTTTCACTTTAACAAAAATGAAAGCTGTGCGCTGGTTTGTACAAAAGGATATGACCCAAACACTAAAACTGCTGAGCTTGATTTCATTAAAAAGGGCATCCAGCTTAACTATCAGCATCACTGGTAAGTAGAAGGATACGTCATCCATTCATTCGGCTTACTTTGTTTTACCTACAGTATATAAATGGGAAGTGGGAAGGTTCACCACTGTTTTCTCTATGTGCGGATGATGGCACTCACCTGGCTCACTGGAGTCTCAAAGCCTTAGAAATGGCTTTGTAACCATTTCCAGACTGATACATGTCAACTACTTTGTTTTCATCTGTTTTTAAATTTCTTTAGATCGCATCATGATGTGTTGATTTTTGAGAGCTTTGCTTTGTCAGACAGCTTCTATTTAAGTGGTTTCTTGATTCAACAGGTCTGGCAGTATTCAGGCCTGAGTGTGGCAAGTGACATTTAACTCCGCTGTGGTTAATTATTCATGATTTAGCAGGAGTGAAGGGGCAATTACTTTATCACATAGGGCCAGGCAGGTTTGGGCAGCTTTTTCCCTTAAATTAAATTATCATTTAAAAACTGCATTTTGTATTTACTCGGGTTATTTTTTGTGTAAATATTAAAATTTGTTTGATCTGAATCATTTAAGGTTGGCAAATATCCCCCCAAAAAAGGTAAAGGGAAAATGCAAAAAAATAAAAGTAAAGGGGCAAATACTTATTCACAGCACCGTATTCTGTATGTATAGTATTTTTCCATATTATGACTATTAAACTGAGTGCTTTTCATATTTCTAGGATCATTGATAATATGCCTGTTACCTGGTGTTATGAAGTGGAGGATGGTCAGAAATATTGCAGTCCAGGGTTCCCTGTTGGGTGTGCTGTCACTTCAGATGGCAGAGTGAAGGATGCCTGTGTGATTAATGTAAGTTTGATACCAGCAAGTGCTTAAAGAACGCTAAGGGTACGTTAACACCAGCTGCTGTGTCAAATCGCATCGGCTGGTGTGTGTTGGGATAACAATAGTGCTGATGCTCTGATTGCATGATTTCAATAAACAAACCTTTATTGAAATGACACACAGCGAGAGCAACATTGGCCACCGCTCAGTGAAAGGCTATGGATTGACTCACACTGCTGTGTTCTGGGGAAAAAGTACTTGCTTTGCTTTTTTTTTTTTTTTTTTTGTCTAGGTCACACCACTGCAACACAGTGTTGTGAACCACCTAGGTGTGCTGGAATAGCCACCCAACGCGGGTCCTACCTCACCTGCTGTCAATGTACCCTTAAAGTTCTGTTGTGTTTGAATGAGCTCATGTTTTAAGTTATTTTTATGTTAACCGTAACAATATAATTTCATGGGAGGTTTACATACTTACTCTTTTTTTATGCCTGTTTTTAGCAACAAATCTTTTCTGGGATACACAATTTTTTAATCAAACAAATATGTCTGGTGACTTGTGGAGAGAGAGCATACTATGAGCCAAGTCCAACAAGGTGCATTCCACTTTGTGGACTTATCTCTTTTTTACTTACATCTGACAATTTTTTGGAGCTCCTGGAGGACTGCTATCACTACACTTCTGGAACTCTGAGAGAAGAGATGCTATCTTCTCACATATGGCATCTCTGCTCGCTTTTTCACTCAGCTGCCCATTCACAGGAGCCTTTGTATTTTGTGAATAAGTTCACGTAGTACAAAGTACTCTGTGGCTGGGCAAGAGGTGGAGAGGGGCAGGCACAGCAGCTGCATGCAACTTTGTAGCTGAAAGAACTGAGAACAGAAGAGCCAGCTTTGGAGCTCTGTAAATGAAATGTAATTATAGCTATCCTCCCAGAGCTGCAGAAAACTGTCAGATGTATATAAGAGATAAGCCCAGGAAGTGGCATGCAGACTGTTTTACTTAACTCATGGTATGTCTACACATTTTACAAAGTGGTGTATTTCTGGAGTTCAGCTTTCAGTTTTTTTACTGAGACATAACATATGTCATAAAAAGAAAGCATTAGTCTCAAAATCTTGTGACGAAAATCAACCTTGCTCCTCAGTCCAAGGCCCTATACAATATATTGCCAAAAGTATTGGGACACCCCTTCAAATCATTGAATCCTGGTGTTCCAATCACCTCCATGGCTACAGGTGTATAAAATTAAGCACCTAGGCATGCAGGCTGCTTCACCAAGCATTTGTGAAAGAATGGGTCGCTCTTAAGAGCTCCGTGAATTCAAGCGTGGAAATTTCCTTGCTACTAAATATTCCATGGTCAACTGTTAGTGGTATTATAACAAAGTGGAAGCAACTGGGAACAACAGCAACTCAGCCATGAAGTGGTAGGCCACGTAAAATGACAGAGCAGAGTCAGCACATGCTGAAGCTCACAGTGTGCAGAATTCGCCAAATGTCTGCAGAGTCAATAGCTAAAGACCCCCAAACTTCGTGTGGCCTTCAGATTAGCACAACAGTATATAGAGAGCTTCATGGAATGGGTTTCCATGGCTGAGCAATGCAAAGCGTCAGATGGAGTGGTGTAAAGCATGCCGCCACTGGACTCTAGAGCAGTTGAGACGTGTTCTCTGGAATGACAAATCATGCTTCTCTGTCTGGCAATCCAATGGGCATGTCTGGGTTTGGTGGTTGCCAGGAGAACGGTACTTGCCTGACTGCATTATGCCAAGTGTGAAGTGTGGTGGAGGGGGGATTATGGTGTGGAGTTGTTTTTAAGGCGTTGGGCTTGGCCCCCTAGTTCCAGTGGAGGGAACTCTTAAGGCATCACATACCAAGACAATTTGTACAATTTTATGCTCCCAACTTTGTGGGAACAGTTTGGGTATGGCCCCTTCCTGTTCCAACATGACTGCCCACCAGTGCACAAAGCAAGGTCCATAAAGACATGGATGAGTGAGTTTGGGGTGGACATGACTGGCCTGCACAGAGTCCTAACCTTCACCCGATAGAACACCTTTGGGATGAATTAGAGTGGAGACTGCTAGCCAGGCCTTCTTGTCCCACATTAGTGCCTGACCTCACAAATGCCCTTCTGGAAGAATGGTCAAACATTCCCAATGACACACTCCTAAACCTTGTGGACAGCCTTCCCAGAAGAGTTGAAGCTGTTATAGCTGCAAAGGGTGGGCCAACTCAATATTGAACCCTACGGACCAAGACTGGGATGCCATTAAAGTTCATGTGTGTGTAAAGACAGGCATCCCAATACTTTTGGCAATATATACTGTGTACTGTTTCAAGAGAATAACTACTTAGCTGAAGAAGTTCATTTTCAGGGAAATAACAGTTTTGATAAGATGCTTCTGAAACTAGTACTGTATTTTGATTCGCAAAAGATTTCCTTTAGGGGGGCATACTATTAGTTAATCAAGTGTTATTTACAGGTTAGCAATGGGCTGTCAGGCAATAGCTTTAATTAAAATTGAATGCCACTTGAGATTTCCCTTAAAAACGTCCCTCAAGGTTAATCAGTCAAAGCATGTAACAAGGTGTCCCTGGTGTGTAATTCTTAATTAAGCTAATGACAACCTCCATTTATTGACAATAGTATTATCAGCATACATTAGCTTAGCACTTCTGATATTGGGTGAAAACATACTATATTCCAGAATTCCACCTAATGCTGCAACAATAGCAATTGTAAAACCTGTTCTCTTACAGACCAATTATGTTTATTTAACACTTTTTGTACATGTCATTCCAGACCGAGTTTAACAAGAAAGACACGTTTTACCTCTTCAATCATGTTGATATAACCATTACATATCACAGTGGTAGAGAGGAAAACTGGGATGGAGGAAGACTTGTTGCTGCAAGGCTTGAACCAAAAAGGTGATTCATTTCCTATGCCTGTTACCCTTGAGACTGCCTTGTAATCCGTAAACAAAATACATGTATAATTGTCTTCTGTTTAGTTGTTTACCCACTGCTCAAAGTACATATAGGTCAATTTTAAGTGATTAATGTAGGCTCACATTTGCCGCAGCAGCCATGAGCTAGGTTCCTGTTTTTCAGACAGTGATTAGTTTTCCTGTACAAGTGATCAGGGTGCTAAGAATGCTTGACATGTTTGGTATCTATTTACCCACTCACATTTTATATTTTACCAAGCCATAGGGAACTATATTGTGTTTTTGTGTGCATTAAAATTTATTTTTATAATGGAAATTTTTATTGATTTTACATGAGAAAAAAGCAAAAAAGGTTGTGCAACTTGTACAAACAAGATTTAACAAATTACTAATCCATACTATAAAGTATTTCCATGCCATAAAACACCAGATAATCCTATGTGTCATGAACTGTCTTTACATCTTGGATTAAAATTAATTTTTCACAAAAATACCAATTTGGTAAACATTTGCACAAATATTGTGTAACACAAAAAAATCCTTCTGTAGGATCTCTGCTTCTAGAATTTTTTTTTGTGGTGGTGGGGTTAAATAGTTTTCTAGTCAAAAAAATCAGATTTTAGCATGTGTGTGCAAAAATTAAATTGTTGTGTTACCTATGGGGTCAGTTCACTAAGAAACAGGGTGGATTTGATTTAAATCAAACTGATTTAAATCACTAGTCAGTAAGGCTTGATTTAAATCATAGTTTTCTACATAAAGACTAATTCTTGCTGGTACAACTTTAATATGCAAGTAGATGAAGATTTTTAGAATAACAACTTTTCATATTAGTTTTTTTTATCCCCAGTTTAATAGGTTAATCATTCATATTTGGACAACTTTTCTGTTGTACTTAGGAAGGAAAAAAATAATCATTACCTTAATAATAACAATTTAAATAGATTTAGTCAACTGAAACAATAACATTCCAGCATATGTTATTTGCTTAAACAAACATCCATGTTTAACTAATTTGGCTAAACAAAATATATATATTTTAAGAAACTTAGACTGTCAGCCCCTTCCTCCTCACACTTAGTTTCACTTTCTTCTTGTGCAGATCTATTCCACTCCAAACAATCAGAAAAATATTGTTTCTATTCTGTTCACTGAACTTCTTGAAACTTAGCACTGAAGGGGTTGATTCTGTATTCATAGGTTTGTAGAAGTTAGGATTAAGGTCTTTTTCTTAACTCTGTTCATGTTATAACATTTTTGCTGTGAAGAGGCATGTGATCTCCACTGAGTCAAATTCAGTTTTGAGAACTGCAAAAGTAAACCAAGCATCTGTGATAATATCTTGTAGGCAGAGAAACTGCCCAATAATCTTACAAAAACCTCTGGAAGAGCATGACATTGTGAATGGATTCATGGAATTTATTTACCAAAAAAATTAAACATATACAGCCTTATTCTACATAATTAAAAAACTAATCTTTATTTCATGATGGAATAACCTTTGGATGGTAATATATTTTCCTCAAAAAGCATTTTATTTAAAAAAATCCGATTTTAAATAAAAATCCAATTTAAATAAAAAAAATCAGATTTTTTTTTTTTTTTTGATTTTGTAAAAAAAATCATTGATTTTTATCCACCCTGCTAAGAGATAAGTACTGCATGAATGTTCGAGTTAAAATAACTCATGCGATATTTATTTCAAAAGTAGTCAATTCACTAAAAAAAAGTGTTCTTTACCAAATACATTAAATATTTATGTTTTGCATTTTTTAGCACTTAAATTTTGAATTGTATTTGGTGTTTTTTCACAATTCTTTTTTTTTTTATGCAGGTTAACATTGCGCCAGCATGCACACAGCAATGTTGTGAAACTATGAAAACATTGTAGCGTGCTTTCATTTACAAAATGATCTCCCTCTGATGAAATGTTACAATTTATTTTCATTCTTGAGCTCAGAGGAGAGCATTTTTACTCTGATACATTGTGTACTTTTCACTTTCTGGCCAGTGCAGAGTTCCTCTAATTGTTATTTTGTATATTTCTAAAATACCCCCAGCAAACACCTGGTAATATAAAGGAATGTGTGTGTTTTTTAATGAATTGACTTTAATGATTTATCTCGTGGTTTTTTTTTTTTTTTTTTTTGTGGTATTTCACTATTTTAACAAATGTGCGGTGTTTACCTCACATTCAATATTTTACTTTGATGAATTGATTCTTTTATTATCTCATGCGATAATTTATGCAAATGAATCACGTGACCCTGTTATTGCATGCGGTAACCTTTTAGTGAATTGACCCCCAAAGTGGTTAAAAGATAAAATAATCAGCATGAAGTTTGAAACTCAGGCTGACTTCCAAAGCATACTACAAAGAAAGCAATCTTACATGTTTCAGAAGTATTCTTTGCACCATTCTGTACTTTTTTTTTTTTTTTTTTTTTTTTTTGTAATTCATTAATTGGGCTGTTGATCCAAGAAATCATGTGACTGTTTAGCATCTTGACTCTGTTGCATTTGCAGTTTGGTAGGGTCTTATTTTACAAGACCAATAGACTAATTAAGAAGGATATATTTGTGTTGTATGATCGGCTGCCACACTGCACACTGGCACTTTTCCATGAATACAAGAAATTCTCTGATTGGATGTGGTGGAGATGAGCAGTAGTGATGTCTTGATTTCCACTTCATCCTGTGTGTATTCATTGAAAAAAAAATTACAAGCCATTCTATGAATAGTGGTGGTACCGAGAGAATGAATCGCTCTGGTCAGTTTGCAGTAGGGCAGCCTCCTGCATAGAACTTGAGCAGGGCCCAGAACATTACTGCTATCACTGTAGTAGCATTCACTACTGTAGTGATTGTCAGCTTCCTCAGTTGTCCATCATATGAATAATGTATACTTACATTGTGTGAAGCTGGACTAGATTTGTATTTATCAGAGGGACATGTTCCATTAGGGCTCCTTTAATATAAAGATTGTCTGCCTGTTAGAGGATGGCTTTTAAGGATCTCCTTGCTATGAAATATTAATCATTTTACTTTTTTTAACATTTTGTTTTATATGAAGCAGACCTAAATATGCAATCTTACTTTTAAAATGTTTATGGCTTTCACCATGTTATAAAGGTACTGCAAGCTTTTGATCAAATTTAACCTACAGTACTTTACATGGGATCCTTTGCACAATCACTGGAAAGAGATCTGAGTTTTGTCACTCAAATGGGTGGGTAGCAGGGGCGGACTGACCATTTGGAAACTCGGGCACTGCCCGGGGTCAGTAGGGGGCCCCATGAGATGCCCCTGGTACCTTTTTCATAGGCTTTTTTGAGTTTGGGCAAGGACACAGAGGCCCCATGATCCCCTATTGCCCGGGGGCCCCATGAGTTGTCAGTCCGCCCCTGGTGGGTAGCATTGCCAGTTGGGTAATTTCTGTTGCTTTTTTTTCTTGTTAGTTATAAACACACCAATGTAAATGACTTAAAATGTGAGGGTCATCCAATGGAGATCCCCAAAGACCTAACTGGCCACCTGGAGGTTATCTACACATACTCCGTGACTTTTCAAGTAAGTGTTTGTAAGTTATAAGTTTTCTTTTGAAGAATGTTGTCACAACTTGATATACTGAATTAAAAATAATCTGTGTTTTAAAATATTTATTTGCCTATTGTATTTAGCACTATACTGATTTGATTTCTTTTAGTCATGTAAAGATCAAGTATTGTTTATGTAGATTTACTATAAGATAAGTTCTGTGTGCTGTGAAGCTTCTTTGGCTTCTGTACTAAAATGAGACTCTGGTTTTATTAGAAGATTTCTATATAGTTAATTTGAAAAGTTATGCAATTAGTTTATCAACTTGCATATTAAAAATAAAAGCTGGCCATGCATTCAAATAGACTATAGGTGGCCTCTAACGTAGAACTATAGGCAAAAATATTTTTTTCATTTTGGATAGAGTAAAAGAGGGTTACAACCCCTGTCAGATTTTTTTTTTTTTTTTTTTGCCATCTGCTTCCCATCGTGGAGATTTCCCTTCACTTAATGTCCCACAAGCAAACAGGAAATTAGAGGAAATCCTTGCAAATTGAAGGGAATTCCTTGGGGACCCCCAGGTCACCTGAACTAGTGTCTCCATTGGAAGGTTTCCCCTCTATTACTTTTCTGGAGACAACCCACAATTTGAGGTTTTCTTTTTATTTTCACCCTCTGTTAGTCCTGTTTACCATTATCGTTATCATTGAAAGTGAATCTCTTTAACAGGGGCACAGACAACAATAAAAACTGACAGATGTCAATGCTTCTCCACTCTGTCCAAAACTAAAAAAAAAAAGTTTTGCCCTTTTAGATATACTTTAACAGTTGCAATAACCTTTCGGTAAGAGCATGCTGCTTCAGGCTCCCTTACCTGTAGACCTAGACTGTTTGTCATGTGAAATCTATTGAAAGGGGGTCAAGGGTTCTCCTTTGACGTGGAGCAGGTGACCATGTGCCAAGACCTTCAGGCATTATGTCCTGTAGATGGAGCCTGATGAAGCATTTTCTACAGAAAAGGCAAGTATGTCTCTTTATCCAAATAATTAAAATTGGTTATCCATAAATGTATGTTTAAAGCTGAAATCTGCTCTGTTATTGTCTAATGCAAGAGCCATGCATATTCCCATATGAGTGCAATGGTTTCTCTAACGGGCATAAGGTGAAAGCTGCCTCAGTGCCCAGGATAATGGACAGTACAGGTCAAACTAATTTTTTTGGGAGGTGCAAAAGGTATGTGTTTTATTGGAAGCATATGTATTTTGGACCATTCAGCTTTGTACATTTTCAGTTGGAAGTAGTGGTGTAGTAAAGGGGGGGGGGGGGGGACTTGTGGAATACTTGGGCCCACAGCAACTTACCCATGTGATTACCGGTTTGTATATGTCCTAAAGCCTACTACTGGCTTCTGTATTTCAAGGGCGCTCAAGAACACAGACAATACAAAAAAAACCTTTTGGTTTTGCTTGGACATGACTTGCTGCTTATCCTACCTGCATGTGTGTATGCTAACAATTTACATCCTCAAAGCTGCTGCTTATTTGTCTGCTGTGCTAGTAAAATGATCATCATCCTTACAGTACCATTTTAATATATAAGATCTTCATTCTTTAGGAAAATAATATCAATAAATGGGCATCTCGTTGGGATTACATACTGGAGTCCATGCCACACACAAACATTCAGTGGTTCAGGTAAGACCCGGTAACAACTCCTCATTGATTGTACCTGAAGAGTAATATATTCCTTTATTTCTGACTTGATGAGCACGAATATGTGCATGGGCCTAGCTAAACAATTTAACAAAAAAAGAAATCTGACTGATGCCTGGTCAGCATAAGAAAAAGCAGGATGAATGCACATAATCCAATAGCTTGTGTAGTTTAATACTGCTGCATGAATCCCTGTGCTTGGGTGTGGGCTTTGCAAAGCCATATGCAAATATGACTAAAGCTGGCCATAGATGGATCAAAATTCCGCTAGTTCAGCAGGGAATGGCCACATTTTGATCCATCTGTGGCCTTTTCTGTTCATGAGAATTTGATCTAACAATCAACTTCTCATGAACGGGCTTCTTGGCAAATTTTTCTTTGATCAGTGCATGCAGCCAATCGATTATGGTGCTGATCAGTGTATTCTGATAGGGGTGGAGATCCACTGTCAGAATACAATACGTTGACACAGCAGGGATTATTCATCCACTTCAAAACTCAAATGCCTGGATGGGGAAATCTGTTCAGTTTTTTTTTTTTTTTTTTCAATTTTTATTTATGGACTTCTGGCTGAAAGAAAAAAACTTTACCCTTAACAGCTTGATAAAATTGTATGTTCTTTAGCAAGGAACATACATTCCACATTAAAAATTATGCTACCAAAAATAGTGTGTGCTTTAAATTGCCTCCAGCATTGTTCCTGTTTCCTCTTGATGGAGGCTACCATTTTGCTGAGTCCCTGAATGACAGCAAATTGGCCTCTACAAAATTCGATACAGTTCCTAAAAATAGAGAGCAGCTGAGCATGTGCAGAGCAAGGTGAGAGCGTGATACTGGATTTTACACAGTATAGGCACTTATTTTTAATGTTTTTTATATAGCTATACCTGCAAAAGGGGCCAGCCTGAAGTGATCTAGCAGGACTTCATTTACAAAGTTCCACTTTAATTTTAGTGAACATCAGTGTGGTTCAGACCCAGAATCATGATGCAACCAACACACACACAGGTTTGACTGTATTTTCACTTCTGTAAACAAACCAGCAAGGGAATTACAGAAAATCTAGTTTGCTCATGTATAAATAAATAAAAAAAGTTGTGTACTCATGCAGTTGTTCTCACGATGACTGAAACTGAAGGTCTTGAAGCCCTTTACATTGCTGGCCTGTTCCCCAAATTCATGATATTTGCAGAATATTTTGTCATGCTATTGAATTGTTTCTGAAAATAATGTTTTTACAGTACCAAGCAAGTCTGCAAATGTCTTTTTTGCTGTCCGCTAAGAACTGTATTGGCGGCAAGAGTTTAACATCCCTCTTTTTCTTGAAACCCAATTCCTGCAATTTTTTTTTTCTTCTTGGCACCTTATTTTCATATTTCATTCCACAGAGGTTTTAAACTTTCCCCACAACTAAATAAAATTAGGTTTGCCACAGGACTATGTGCTATTATGGCTATTGGAGGTAAGCAGATCAGGTAATTACAGAAAATTTCCCAAGTAGATGTGTAGGCAGTTGTTGCTCCTGTTATGATGATGTATTCATTTTAATTTAAAAGGATTATACATTATATCAGATTTTTGCTGAATAATCAATGTCCATTGATTACCCGTATTGTTGGCATTTTACAGTGTTCAGTAAAGAGCTTGCTTTTTGTCTTTCAGTATAATGAACTCCCTGGTAATAGTCCTCTTCCTTTCTGGGATGGTAGCTATGATCATGCTGCGTACTCTTCATAAGGACATAGCCAGATATAACCAGATAGATTCTTCTGTGAGTATTCTACATGAGTCTTCACTTTTTACGCATTGAAACCATACGGATATTCATTTTGGGTTAATGTTTTATCTATAAGGGTTAATAAGGCTTACATTTCATTTGGACCGTGTATTTTATTTGTTTTAAACTCATTTGTGCGCATTATAATTTTTTTTTTTTTAGCAAGCATTTTTTTTTTTTTTTTTGCAGTGTAGTTGAAAACTGTACATTTGTTTTGTGTAGTTGCATATGTAATTTACCCTGTAAAGCATGTGCATGTTTTTATATGTTCATTTCCCTTTCATACGTGACATGCAGAAAATCAGGGCTTGACAAATTTGCTTTGAATCTAGGAGGCAGCTAAAAAAGTTAGGAGCCAATTTTTCTTTTAGTGTAGCGTGGGTTGTCAGCACCCGGGGCAAGGCAACTCTTGGGCAACAAGCTTAACGTGATGCAACTTTCTGCATGGCAATCGCATCAAAACCACACCATGTTTTAGATGCCATAGAAAATAATGGCACCTGGACCTGCGTTTTGCGATCGCAGCGATTCTGCACCAATCCCAAAACCAGAAAAAAAGGTAGCGCTCTAACCAAATCAATAATGACAAAAATCACTCATCAAAACTTGAATAAAATATATAAATATTTAAAAAAAGGAAAAAAGTGAAAAATATATAAAAATACAAAAGATATATAATCTTATGTGCAAACAAATTTTGATAAAACTTTTAACAAAGTGTTCGATTTCATCCTAAAAAATATGTATTCTAAAAAATCAATACCAAACCTGGAAAAAAAAATGTGTCCAATAATAGTGTCCTTAACCAATAATTGGTTAGAGCGCTACCTTTTTTCTATTTTGTCACTTTTTACCTTGTTTTGAGGGTGAGGTTTTAGCTGATTTTTTTTTTTTTTTTTTTCACAGATTATTTGTTTAATAAGTGTTTCCAGTGGCGCTCTCCATACCCTAAAACAATCCCAAAATGCCCAGGTGTGAATGGGATGTGTTTTCCAACTCACAGATTCGCATGACAGGCTAGCGATGGTTCCTATTGAGGTGGTTCACACAGATGCTATCCGCACGCATTGTGTTTTGAGTGCCATTATGAAAAGGGTCCTGTGTGAGTTTATAGCAGTTCATTCCAGCCTTGCAAGTGTAGAGTAGAGTAGCATGCGGAGATAAGTGTTGCTATAGGATTTGTAATGGGAGGAGTTTTTGCATTGAACTCAATGGGAGGAGTTTTTGCATTGAAGTCAATGGGAGACAATGTATGAACACAGGTGCTAGGATGCATTTTCTAGTCTCCATGGTGACCTGGGATTTGTCGAGCCCTGCAGAAAATGCACTAAAATTCAGCAGGAAGAGTTTTCTAAAGACAAACTGTTTCTGCTTCCAAACAGGGAAAATTCACACCAGCAGCTGTCACACATGAGTGTTTGTGTGCACTGGGGGGATCACAGTACTGAAGCTGCATTCCCAGGGAAGGGTACTGGTTTTCTTCTCTTTTTACGAAAAAAACCCAAAACTTTTATTGACATGTTACAAGTGACATTTCATCAAGTTCTAGTCACACATTGGTGTTTGGATACTGTGGTTTCTGGCACAACCTGCTGCACTGGAAAAAAATCATTGCATGCTGCACTTATTTCATCGCACACCACTTTATTGCAGTCCCTTGTCTTTGCATTCGGACTGCGCTGAGCAACGTTAACTAGCTCATCCCAATGGGAATTCAGTGGACCTTAGGTAGGTGTAAGTGTAGACAAGATGGAATGTTTCTTGGCCCAGAAGACATCCCACACTGCTTTATGGTTTTCTTTTATATTTTTTTGCTCCAGGAAGATGCACAAGAGGAATTTGGTTGGAAACTAGTACACGGTGATATATTCAGACCTCCCAAGAAAGGAATGCTACTTTCTATATTCCTGGGTCAAGGAACACAAATTTTTATTATGACATTCATTACGCTGTGTAAGTACATATGTAGTGTTTTTATTCAGCTAGGTAGCATGAAACGCTGCTATTGTGTCATTTTAAACTATGAGGCAAGCATATATTGTTGCAAGTGTGGTCAGGATTATTTGATTCACCCAGGAAAGCAAAGATCATAAATTGTATCACCTTTGCTGGGCCAGCAAGCTTTGTAAACTGTTTGTCATACACAATGTAATAAACAGAAGTAGTGAGCTTTTGAAGCCTATCTTTGGCAAATGTACAGATATCAACTTTGACTATAGATCAACAAAATTATGTTTTCTGAAAGCAAAGGACAGGTTCAATAAAAAGCTGGCTGTCCCAATTTTGCATGTTACATGATATTAATGTAAATGGTTTGAAATGTAAGAAATCCTACATTAATAGTCTATATTTTCAGTAAAAAGTAAAAGTACAATAAAAAGATTCTTAATGCACACAAATGCAATGTACTCTTCCCATTTTTGCTTACTTAACCACACTTTTTTTTTAAAGGCTAGGTTCACCTTTTTAAAAATAAATCATAAATGCACAAGTTTTTGCAGAAGAAAATGTGCATTTAATATTCTTATTTATAGGAGCCTGCAAAGCATTTCATCTGCGATCAGTGAAATGTCAGGCTCCTGCAGACACTTTTTCCTACTTTCTGCTAATGACTCTGTACAGGCTTCCATTTTGAGAGCAGAAGGAAGTGTCAATGGACTAAGCGTGCTGATTACAGCACTCGTAGCCCAATGGGAAGTACTAGTCCATCTACAGCTGTGGCAGATGGGACTAGTTTATTCATTCACAGAACTCTTTTTAATTTAAATGCGATAGGTGCTGCGGGTCAGAGGAATCCTCTGTCATGGGGGAAGACTCAGAGGGCGAGGGGAGTGTTACACCTCCATTTAGGGTGTAACACGTAACATGTTCCTAAAGGTGAACGAATCCTTTAAGTACAAAATGGACCTTGCATAAAGTGGATTAAATCACTTTTTTTTTTTTTTTTTCAGGAACTGGGAATTCTTTATGAAACAATGTTTTATTCTCTTTACACAATAGATATAATCTAACTTTGGGCCTTTTTTGTTTTAAGTTTTGGCATGCCTTGGATTTCTGTCACCTGCTAACCGAGGAGCACTGATGACATGTGCAGTTGTATTGTGGGTCTTGCTGGGAACTCCAGCTGGCTATGTGTCTGCTCGGATGTACAAGAGTAAGTAACCGGTTTCTGTGTTTCATATGTTATCCTATATGGCAAGTATGTAACCCTCAAATAAAACCGTGTTGGTAAAGTTGGTTTCCTTTTTCCACTTGAATAAGGATATTGTGCTGCTATTCTTTTTGTCTTAATCCTACACATGCTAAGAAGGAGATGCTTCACTCTTTGGATGTTGATTGAGCTGTTAAATTTATCAGAGATCTACAGCTCCAGTTTGACAGTCTGACTGTTCTCCCTTTGGGGAGGGATCTTTCAAGGGTAAAGCTGCTTCTTGATCCACTATTTTTAGGTGGATTAATCTGTACTTACTGAGCTATTCAGCATCAAGCTTCTGTTGTTCAAGGTTATAGGGCTTCCACCCGGTCTTTTCTGAACACATTTACGTAGTTTTACCACAGGGGTGCCCAACCTTTTGAAGATCAAGGGCCACTTAGGGATTTGTAAACTAGATGTGGGTCACAATGAAATGGAATGGTTCAGAATTTTGAGATTTTTATTTTGAATGGCATAATGAACATTTTCCTTCTGCAGCCACTGAATGCCAGTGGTAGGGAGAGGAGGAGAAGCCTGCTTTCAGCAGTTGCAGGAAGAAAATGGAGTGTATTGGTTTCTATATTTGCCACCCCTCCTGTTCCAAGTCTAAAACCGTATGTGAGAGGGGGGCCACATGGAGCATGGGTTGGGGTTGCTATTGCAACCCCTGATGCTACACCAGCGGTTGGGGAGGGCGTGGTAAAAAAAAGTCTCAACTATTGGGTTTATCGTCCCCCCAAACAGCAAATGTAAACAAGCTTTTACTGTCCTGAGCCCCCTGTAAGGCTACGTTCACACTGATATGCTGCGGTTTACCCACACCTCGGAAGCAGCATAGTGCACCTGCGGCTTTTCTGTGGGTTAGCTCTGCTTTGCCCTTGACTTCCGTTATATCTTGTGGGCATGGTGCACTTCTGAAAGGGCACCAAAACTCTCACATTCAGTTTGAGGGCTCTGAGGTCCACAGGTTGAGCACCCCTGTTCATGCCTCCGCAGATGCCAGTTTTGCACAAAAGGTCTTGTAGACTGCATTGTAGCAAGTGTTTTGGTTTTTGGATATTTTGGCCTTGTTGCTGTGTTACTCACCCCTCATGTTCAATACTTTTGGACATCCCAAGTAGTCATAAAAGTACCCTTTGTCCTGGAATGTACAATTTAACAAATTAAGGGTTTTGGTTTACCAGTAAAATCCTTTTCTTGGAGTAAATCACAGAATACAGGGATCCTTCCCCATATGGAAGAAAAATATATTTGAAATATATTTTGAGAATATTCTTCCCAATAATTTTGCCATATATTTGAAATACTACAATTTTGACCATATTCAATATATATATATATATATATATATATATATATATATATATATATATATATTAAAAATACATTTCAGATATACTGAATGTCTTTAAAAATACAAATATATGTAAAAATATGTTAAAATGACTTTTTTCTGTTAAACAAAAAAATCTGAAGAATATATTTTAAAATTCTATAAATTTAGATTTCTATTTTTAAAGACATACAGTATATTGGAAATGTATTTTTAAAAATATTTTTTATACATTTTGTAATATTTCAGATATATTTTTCTTCCATGTGGGTCCCTTCTTTGTATTCCTCATTACTGCTGTGGCTCAGCTAAGCTGGAAGGGGATACGCCTTGGTAGGAATTTCTTGCTTTTTTTTTTTGGCCAGTGTCCATTCACCTAAAAGTGGCAGCATAACCCAAGTAGTCTTAAATATGATGTACCCTGGGTCCTGTGTTATACACAGAGAAAAATAATCTTACATGTGAATCAAAAATTCTAATTTTTAACACGATGTGTCAATTTTACAGACATTAGACAATAGCCATAAACATTTGCACATTGTATTGCAACGTTGGTTGCATAATAATTCAAGCAACTTTAGACATCAGATTAGCTCCAATGCTTGCACCTTCAGAGCTCCAATCAGCCCTAAATGCAGGGGTTTTATATAAATGCTGCAGTGGCTCAAACAAGAGGAGGTAAAATGTTTTCGTGCAGGCAGGCTTCTTTTACACACTAATGCTCAGCTGCTGGGTAGCCTAAATTGTCAGTGATGTCAGGAAGGTGGGTTCACTATGGGCAGGCTGTACATTGTAATTAACAGCCTAGTGAGCTGTCAATTACAGCCTATGGCAGTGATTCAGCTGTCGGTGAAAAAGACATTGTAAGCAAAACAATTCAGTGCATCACATGTACAGTGGAAATAAAAAGTCTACACACCCCTGTTAAAATGTCATGTTTCTGTGATGTAAAAAAGAGACAATAACTCATTTTAGAACTTTTTCCACCTTTTAACCACTTGCCGACTGCAGATAGCCGAATGAGGGCTTCACTGCGGCAAGAAGTTCTGGGAGGGCGTCCTCTGACGTCCTCCCAGAATGCACTCTCCTACGGACACAGCTGATCACGTGACGTGGTAAAAGGCCAATCACATGGCCTTTTACCACGTGGTCAGCCATGTCCACTGACACACTGATCACCGGGAAATGCAGTTAACAGTTATCGGCTGCACTTTCCTCACGCTGTCATAGGAAAGTACTGCCGATAACCGGCAGTTGTCAGAGGAGGGAGAACTGATGATCAGTGCCCTGATGATCAATGCCCACCAGTGCTGCCCAGCAGTGCCGCCAGTCAATGCCCAGCAGTGCCTCTTATTTTGTTTATAGTGCAAAAAATAAAACACCCAGCGGCGAATAAATGCCACCAAAGAAAGCTCTATTTGTGTGAAAAAAAATTATAAAAATTTCATATGGGTAGAATGTTGCATGACCGCGCAATTGTCATTCAAAGTGCGACAGCGCTGAAAGCTGGAAATTGGCCTGGTCAGGAAGGGGGTATATGTGCCTGGTAGGCAAGTGGTTAATGTAACCTATAAACTGTACAACTCAGTTGAATAACAAACTGAAATCTTTTAGGTGGAGGGAAGAAAAAATAAAAAACTAAAGTAATATGGTTGCATAAGTGTGCACACCCTTAAACTAATACTTTGTTGAAGCACCTTTTAATTTTATTACAGCACTCAGTCTTTTTGGGGATGAGTCTATCAGCTAACACATCTTGACTTGGCAATATTTGCCCACTCTTCCTTGCAAAAACACTCCAAATCTGTCAGATTGTGAGGGCATCTCCTGTGCACAGGCCTCTTCAGATCACCCCACAGATCTTTGATCGGATTCAGGTCTGGGCTCTGGCTGGGCCATTCCAAAACTTTAATCTTCTTCTAGTGTAGCCTTTCCTTTGTTGATTTGGATGTATGCTTTGGGTGGTTGTCATGCTGAAAGATGAAGTTCCTCTTCATGTTCAGCTTTCTGTCAGAAGCCTGAAGGTTTTGTGCCAATATTGACTGGTATTTAGAACTGTTCATAATTCCCTCTACCTTGACTAAGGCCCCAGTTCCAGCTGAAGAAAAACACCCAAAAGAATGATGCTGCCACCACCATGCTTCACTGTGGGTATGGTGTTCTTTTGGTGATGTGCAGTGTTGTTTTTGCACCAAACATATATCTTTTGGAATTATGGCCAAAATGTTCAAACTTGGTTTCATCAAACCATAACACATTTTCCACATGCTTTTGGGAGACTTCAGATGTGTTTTTGCAAAATTTAGCCAGGCCTGGATGTTTTTCTTTGTAAAAAAAAAGACTTCCGTCTTGTGACTCTACCCCATAGCCCAGATATATCAAAAATACGGGAGATTGTTGTCACATGTACCACAAAGACAGTACTTGCTAGATATTCCTGCAGCTCCTTTAATGTTGTTGTAGGCCTCTTGGCAGCCCCAGACCAGTTTTCTTCTCATCTTTTCATCAATTTGGAGGAACGTCCAGTTCTTGGTAATGTCACTGTTACGCCATATTTTCTCCACTTGATGATGACCATCTTCACTGTGTTTCATGGTATATCTAATGCCTTGGACATTCTTTTGTTCCCTTCTCCTGACAAATACCATTTAACAATGAGATCTCTCTGATGCCTTGGAAGCTCTCTGCGGACCATGGCTTTTGCTGTAGGATGTGACAAAAAAAATGTCAGGAAAGACGTGCTTGAACAGCTGAACTTTATTTGGGGTTAATCAGAGGCATTTTAAATGATGACAGGTGTGTACTGACTCCTATTTATCCAGTTATAAGAGGGTGTGCACACTTATGCAACCACATTATTTTAGTATTTTATGTTTACTCCCCCCCCCCCCCACACACACACTTTTTATATCCACTGTATGTAGCAAGCAAGTTTTACTAATTTTGCTTTCATTGTACTCCAATTTTTTTCAGCTTTTGGAGGAGAGCGATGGAAATCCAATGTACTACTGACAGCCCTTTTGTGTCCAGGGTAAGTTCTGTGTGTTTTATTGTTAACTTGTAGTGATATAAACGTATAATTGTTCTTTAGGCTGCATTTACACCTGAGCATTGCTTTTTTGAGCATTGTTTGGGCATTTTGAGTGTTTTTGTACAAACTTTTTGAAGCATTTTTCAGCTTTGGCATTTTAAGGAGAAGGCACCCACCGCCTTCCCAACCTGTGACTCATTCCTGCTGCCAGCAGCAGGAATGAGTCATTGGTTAAGCTGCCAGCATCCTACCAATGGTGAATCATCCCTGATGTCAGTGGGGATTTCCGCTGACAGCAGAATATAAACAAAGATGTCGGCATTGGAAAAAAAAACAGTGTGGGGGTCCCCCCAGCCATACCAGGCCCTTCAGTCTGGTGTGGATTTTAGGGGTAAACCCACACCAAAAAATGTGGGCTCCCCCAAAAACACCCATACCAGACCAGAAATCTTTCTTGGTCTACCTGACCGTGGCTTGATATCAAGAGATCCCCGAATTTTCCACTTCTTAATAATTGATTGAACTGACTGGCATATTCAAGGCTTTTGATGTCTTTTTATATTTTTTTTCCATTACCTTGTTACACAGGTCTTTTGACAGTTCTTTTTTTCTCCCCATGGCTTAGTATCTAGCCGTCTCAGTGCATCCACGTGAGAGCTAACAAAGTCAATGACCATTTATACACACACTATTTGCAATTTAAAAAGCTACAGATGTGGGAAATTTACCTTACATTGCCATTTTAACCTGAGTGTGTTGCCTTGTGTGTCTGTACCAAGGCCAATCATTATTGGGTATTTTAACTTTTGATCAAGGTCATTTGGGTGCTTTCTATTATCATTCTGATTTAAAAAGGATCCAAACAACTATGTGTTAACAAATGGCTTTATATGATCACTATCCTTTAAATAAAAGTGTTTTTTGGCACGATCTGTCATATTTTCAATTTTAATGCCAAATGTCACGATTTCTGCCAGGGGATGCAAACTTTTGAGCACAACTGTACATGAGCTTCTTTTAGCGTGCTTTCAGCGCAGTGGGTGGTATTCCAAAAACGTGCTAAAAGCGCAGAAAAAAAAAAACTGTGAAAACGTGACTCAGTAGTGTTGCTCAGGTGTAATGGGGTTGTAGAGTTCAGTTGAGGGAAGTTTGAAAAAGTCTTTCTACCTAGTTTGCACTGGTGCTATAGACCTCAAAGCAAGGATTTCCACCACTGGAGCCAAAAAGATGTAAACGGCGTCTATGTTTCGAAGTAGATGGGTATGATCTGTTGGTGTACTTCTAAAATTTTACGTACTTTTGTGCTATATAAAAAAAACTTCCACTACTAGTCTGCCTAAAGCAGAACTCAAGCCTAGGTTATTGGAAAAATCAAATAACATCATGTTATAAGGTAATGGTGAATGGTAAACAATTGCTTTTTGCTAAAACAAATATGGGACTCTGGATTTTTTTAAATCTTGACAATGGTCATGTGACTGGCTGATGAAGGAAGTCCCAAATTATTCAGGCAGGAAAAGTCCATGTAAAAATGGAGTAGACTATTTCCATGGTTTCCAGATTAATACATTTGTACTTTTCCCCCTCCGTTTTAAAAAAAATCATGGTTGGTGGCAGCTTGAAAATGTAAAGGTGTTTCTATGATCATGTTTTTTTTTTATGTAGTTAATAGGTCCACTGCTACTATGCCTGTGACGTTTATCTTTGCTAGTATAATAATTTAAGGGTTTCATTTTTGATTGACATATATTACATTTCTTATATTTATTTAAGCATTCAATAATATGATTTATAGTCAAGAGCATCCTATATAACCAAACTTGTTTAATGGTTAAAGAACCTTTTTGAACATTGTTACATGTTCTACCTGTATTTAGGGTGGAACATGTAATATGTTCCAGCAGCTGCAGCCTCCCCTCCACCGCTCCTCCCCGTGACAACGAGCAAGGATCTTCTCCCTGCTCCTGCGGTCACTATTTGAAAATAACACGGCAGAGATTCCTGTGAATTACTACAAGTACTATCGGCCTTTGTGGCTGTTGCCTTTATCTTCAGTTATGAATGGACAGCGGGGTCGCAGATGAGTGGCCTCTTGGTTCATTCACAAGACCTGCAGCTTGTAAGCAGTCAGCCTGTATGCAGGTATGGGCTGAAAGCTGCAGGGCTTCCCTCTTGGAGTTTGGCATTGAACCCCTGAACCACTAATGAGTGCAATGCTTTTCAGGCTCTTTAGGGGAAAATAATAAATGTACATGTTTCCTGCAAAAATATGTGCAATCATTTTTTTTTCTTTTTTTCCCCAAAAGGTGAATTTATCCTTTTAATATAAAGACTATACATGGACATCTGTTTACTAGATTTGGCCACCAGAAAGCCACATAGCTAAAGCTACCAGAATGAAGCTGTAATATAATGGGTGCCAACTACATATATAGGGTGCTTTTAGTATTTGCCATATTTGTTCCTTTATTGGATAGAGAACGTTAGCGTCATATTTTTTTCTTTTTCCACAGAATTATTTTTGCTGATTTCTTCATTATGAATGTAATTTTGTGGGTTAAAGGCTCTTCAGCTGCAATCCCCTTTGGGACATTAGTGGCTATCCTGGCAATGTGGTTTGGAATTTCTGTCCCCCTGACATTCCTAGGAGCATACTTCGGATTTAAAGACAGAGTAAGTACCAGAGGACAATAATCCTATATTCCTTACATTATTAAAAGCGTATCTAAACTCAAACAAAAGAATGTTTATTTATTGTGGATTATTGGACTTTAGTGGATGCGTTTGTTTTCCTTTTTCAGGCTGGTTTCCCTTTTATCTTCAACTGGTAATCCTGTAAATAATACCCTTTCTATCCTAAGGTTACTACTTTCTCTTACCACTGTAATAATAGAGCGAGATATGATTATCACCCACATTGGACTTGCCTTCCTCTCTTCATTGCCATGACATGGAGGGAGGGTAGTGGGGTTAGCACTTTACAAAAGGAAGAAAACATTGGGCTTTCAGTGCAGCTCACAGTTCTTGTCAACTTAACAAGAACACAGCATTTCTGGCAAGCTCAACAGGTATTTTCTGTACTTGATAAAACCGATTTTAGATTTTCATTATTCAGCCTAAGAACAAAGGACTGGAAAGCTGCAATATATAAAAATTTTAGATATCCTGTTAATGATTTTTTGCAATTAAAACTAAAATCTCGTCTCCGGGATGGGACAGGTGGCTACCAGGTGCATAACCAAATGAATATGTTAACTGATAAAAATTGTTCTTTGCTGTGTGTGGGTTTTTGTGGGTCCACTTTAGTGTTCTACAGATGGGGAAATGACAGTATTGCATGCATAGACTTGTACCACTGAGAAATAAATACATTTAAAGTATAACTAAAGGCAATTTTTTATTATTCGGTAGAGTGGAGAGGCATTAGAACACCAGTCAGGTTTTTATTGCTGTCTGTCTCAACATTAGGGAGATTCACCCTCTCTCGGTTTGTCTTATTTACCTTTATCACCCAGAGTGAAAGTAAAGGAAAATCCCTAATTTTTGATCATCCCCACAACGTGTAATAGAGGGGTATCTTCCAAAGGGGACACTAGTTCTGGTGAGCCTGGTGACAACAAAGGATTTACTTGCTTTGGAGAGATTTCCTTACTTCCTGTTTTTGGCTTTGGGACAGGAAATTAAGAAAATTCTGCCCAATGGGGCACAGATGGCAAAAAAACCTGACAGGGGTAGTAACCCTCCCTTGCTCTATCCAAAATGAAATAAAAAAGTTTTGCCTATAGTTCTAGTTAATGTGCTGATGCTTGGAGTTCTATAGAGACAAGAGAAAGGCAGATCCAGTATGCTGGAGCTTCTAAGTCACAATAATCAGACCAGCCATGACTCCTATATCAACAGAAGTAGGACAGGATAGGCTCTGCTGGTTAACCCTTGCATCCCTTCTCTTTGTGTGTTGCAGTACAGTGTGTAGGCAGTTGGTATAGTTCTCTTTACAGCCCTTCCTTTGCACACCTCAGCTGATTTAGGCTTTTCAACAGATGCTCTGATTGGAGAGTAGGCAGCAAGATATTCTGCAACTGCTGCTGAGAAAATTGTTGGGGTGAGGGTACCAAGGAAAATGACACAGCTTTTCAAGCCTGGTTATGAACATCTCACAGCATATCAATACAATAAGGCAATTCCTGTACCCTCCAGAGCTTGTGCATTTGCTTATTTATCATGTGACAGATTTCTACTGCAAGGCTGACCTTTATTTAAAAAAAAAAAAAAAAAAGTAAGTAAATTGGTATCAATAGCTGCAAGTCAATTTTGTAAATTTTTTTACAGTTTCATATTTTTATTCTTTATTTTCAACCACTTGCCCCCCTCCAGAGGATTTAACCCCCCCCCCCCCCCTTTCCTGACCAGGCCGTTTTTTTACAACATGACGCTGCGCAGTCATGCAACGCTGTAGCCAAATGAAAATGATGTCCCTTTTTTTTTCCCCCCCACAACTGGAGCTTTTTTTCAGTGGTATTTTATCGCCTCTGCGTCCTTTTTTTTGTTTTGTTTTTTTTTTGTGCTACGTACAAAAATAAGACCCGACAGTTTGAAAAATAAACAATTATTTTTTTAAACCTATCCATTAAAAAAATTTTAAAATCAAATTTTCTCAAATTTAGGCCAGAATGTACTCTGCTATATGTCTTTTGCTAAAAAAAAAAAAAAAAAAAAAAAAATCCCAATACTCCTAAATTAATTGGTTTACGTGAAACTTATAGCATCTACAAATGGCGGTATATATACACTGGAATTTTATTGTGTGTGTGTGTGTGTGTGTATGTATGTATGAATAATATATATATATATATATATATATATATAATCTCTTAGTAATGGCGGTGATTAGCAACTTATGGCGGGACTGCGGAGGGCATTCTGACACTGGGGGTGGGAACTGACTAACCATCATTCACCACATCCCCAGTGTCACTAATACAGTGATCAGTGCTGATAAAAAGCACTGACACTGTACTAACGACACTGGGCAGTAGGGGTTAACTGTGTGCTGTTTTACTGCGTGCGCCCCCACCTGGAAATGCAAAATCACATGTGTATATATACATGATTTGTACAGCCCTGCCACCCTCTAGCAGTAGTTCTGCTATAGGCGGTCGGGAAGCAGTTGAAGAGTCCCATAATGTCAATAACCTCCCTGGAGGTATTCCCAAGTGTAGCTCGGGGTAAACTTTCAGTACCAAAAGCGGTAACCCCGAGCTACACTCAGGATTACCCTGCAGCGTTGCTCCGGGATCCCTCTTGCACTTACCTTCTCCTTCGCTCCCACGATGTCCCCCCTGCAGCGTCCTCGGCCACCTCCTCCGGCCAATGCAGGCATCCGGGTTCCGGTCCCTGCGAGCGTCAGGACGTACAGGGGACGTAACCGGCGGGAAATTCAAAAATTTTAAAAGTGACATTCACTCAATACACTAAAATCACATAATAAAACATTACTGTATCAAAGTGTTTCACATTCATTTTGTCCCTAGTGCTTTGTCCTGTGCCCTGCCTGCATTTTTACTGTTCTTTCTGCCTGGAAACTGAGAAACGTCCAAAAAGCGTCCCTTTAGGTCAAAAGCAGTTTTAGACCAGCTAGAGTTGAGTGATAATGATTTGTGGGGAAATTCGTCATCAGACTCTGAAAACAATTTTGCGACTTTGCTCAGTGATGTGCGAACTTGGTGCTCTATTTCAAATTTCAGTGTTTTTGGTTTGATTACATTATTGAATTCAATTTATTATTATATTATTTTTTTATGATTATTTATTAAATTACAATTTATGATTTAGTGTTTCAAATTTTATCATACCCGGTATGTTTACTAGACTCTTGTTTGGACAGATTTCAGTGAGTTATTCCCAAAAAATTACAGGCCTACAATAAAAAAAAGACATATGTTCTTCAAAAAAATGTACTGCTTTGAGCACAGAAATACTGACATATTCATACCGCTAGGGAGGTTAAAGTGGCTGTGAACATGAGACATGAAACATGAACAAAGTATATCACTTGTGACAGATTTTCTTTACATCTAGAGAAAAAAGGTGAAAGGGGATAGAGCTCCAGCACACAGCCTGTGATTGACAGCCTCAGCTATGTTCCTGTGTCCTGTGTGAAGGCAGGAGTCCCTTCCCACCAATCAGATCTTTTCACTGAGCTTTGCCAAGTTTAATTTCAGCTCACCGCCCCCTGCTTTTTAGAGCAGAGAGATCCTGGGTAATTTCTGCACTTTGAATGGATGTACAGGACAGATGGCTGCAGATAAACAAGTACAAATTATGTAGAAGGATCTGTTTCATCTCTCTGTATCACCTGAGGCCAGTCACTTCACTGAATAAGACTTTACAACCACTTTAAAGTATAACTAACGGGAAAACCTGTTTTTTATGCTTTGCATAAAGGAGAGATGGATTAGAAGATTAGCACACCCGTGTCCCTGTTAAGTAGATTCACCCTCTCTATTTGTCCTGTTTACCATTATCATTGAAAGTGAAAGTAAAAGAGAATCCCAAATTTTGGTTTGTCCCCAGAAACATTTGGAGAGGAAATCTTCCATTGGGGACACTAGTTCTGGTGACCTGGGGGCCCAATGGATTCCCTTCTTTTGCAGGGATTTTCTTTCACTTCCTGTTTGGCTATAGGGCAGGAAGTGAAGGGAAATATCCACAGTGGGAGAAATATGGTGAAAAAAAATAAAAAACTTCACAGGGGTTATAACTACCTTGCTGTATTCAAAATGAAAAAAAAAGTTTTTTGTCTGTAGTTCTACTTTAAGCCATTTGTGAATCACCAAGTTTTTGTATTAGTGATACGTGATATGGGCACAAGGTGGCATCACTCTCTCTCATCAATGAGGTTTTTTTTTCTAGTTTTCTCTCTACTAACGCAATAATTTTCCATTGGTGGCTACAAATACAAACTCACTGGATCATCTGTTGCCTTCTACATTTAATTATCAGCAGGGGGATATTTATGAAGTTGAAGTAGATAAAATTACAGGTAAAATGATTGAAAATAAATTGTGTACCTCATAACAAGTGGTTATTTTAGGCAGTAAAGTAAAAACTGCAAAAACAAATGTAGTAATCTACTCGTATACTACTACTGTACTTTTATTTTGAGTGGAGGTGTAAAGTTGTACTTGCCTCCAGAAATGAACCATTACATTTTTCTATCAGTTTCTTCACCTGCCATTCAACCTACCTTCTGATATACGTTATGTGGTAGTGTTCGTTTATATTGGCTTTTAATAAACTGAGATGCAGGGCAATGAGAACAGCAAGAAGAGCAGACTACCGTAGAAACGTGACAGAGGCAGATCTTCAGACTGAGCATATGATTACGCTTACCTCTGCAGCCTCAGTGTACCCTTATCACCACCCACCCAATGTATGGCTTTTTATTGCTGTCTAGAAATGATGTGATATTTTTCAGCTTCTTTTGTAAATTCTGTTGTGTGTTGTTTTTTTTTTTTTTTTTTTTTAGTCTTTGCTGTTTCTTACATTTTCTTACTTGCTTTTATAGCCTATTGAACATCCGGTTCGCACAAATCAAATACCGCGTCAGATTCCCACACAGTCCTTTTTCACCAAGCCATTTCCTGGCATCATTATGGGTGGTATTCTCCCCTTTGGGTGCATTTTTATCCAACTGTTTTTCATTCTCAACAGCATTTGGTAAGTTTGTTTCCTATTTGGCAGTATTTGTTATTTTTCCGTGGCCACGATTTACTGTATTTTTCGTCATATAAGACGCACCTGACCATAAGATGCACCTAGGTTTTAGAGGCAGAAAACAGGAAAAAAAAAAATTCTGAACTAATGGACTGCAGACACAGTAAGGGATGACCAGAGACTGCGGACAGCACAGGGATGACCAGAGACTGCGGACAGCACAGGGATGACCAGAGACTGCGGACAGCACAGGGATGACCAGAGACTGCGGACAGCACAGGGATGACCAGAGACTGCGGACAGCACAGGGATGACCAGAGACTGCGGACAGCACAGGGATGACCAGAGACTGCGGACAGCACAGGGATGACCAGAGACTGCGGACAGCACAGGGATGACCAGAGACTGCGGACACAGCACAGGGATGACCAGAGACTGCGGACACAGCACAGGGATGACCAGAGACTGCGGACACAGTACAGGAGATGACCAGAGACTGCGGACAGCACAGGGATGACCAGAGACTGCGGACAGCACAGGGATGACCAGAGACTGCGGACAGCACAGGGATGACCAGAGACTGCGGACACAGTACAGGGATGACCAGAGACTGCGGACAGCACAGGGATGACCAGAGACTGCGGACAGCACAGGGATGACCAGAGACTGCAGACAGTACAGATGACAGTACTGCTGACCTTTGGGGAGGGGGGGAGCGGGTACCTGAATTTGACAGGTACCCGCTCTTACTTCCGCAGAGTTTTTTTTTTATCTTACCTGTTCCTCGATCCAGCCGCGCGCTGTCTTCCCGGCTTCTGTAATGGTGCTCGGCATGACAGCCGGGTGCCCAGTGCGCATGAGCGAGAAGCACTTGCGCTTTGTGATTGGTCCGGCGGCTTCTGGGATCTGTCATGTGTCCCAGGTACCGCCTTACCATTCACAAAAAGCACCGCTTCTTGCGCATGCGCACTTGACACCCGGCTGTCATGCACAGTGCCCACACTACAGAAGCCAGGAAGACAGCACGCCGCTGGATAGAGGAACAGGTAAGGTCCCGCTGCAGAGCTGAGCGGCCGGCCCGGTATTCTGACACGGCCGCGGTGGAAATACCGGACCGGCCGCTCCATATTCGCCTTATAAGACACACTGACATTTCCCCCCCAGTTTTGGGGAAGAAAAAGTGCGTCTTATACGGCGAAAAATACGGTATGTAATTCCTTACATTGGGAAGAAATTTCTCTTATTCAGAATCCTTATGTAGCTAGGAAGTTATTTGGTTGTATACCTATAAATGTAGCGCTCCCTAATACCACAATAATAAATAAATATATGATTCCATCTGTGATAACACACACCATAAATTCAAAATTAAATATAACAAATAAAGTGACCGTGATTAAAAATCAAACACTAAAAATGTGATTATTAACAAAGTATTCTTAATAATAGTCCCATCAATCAATAAACAGTCCAATAATAGTGATAAAGTGATTCATAAATCATCAATTGGTGACTTTCCGTGAATCCTCCAACCAGTAAAAATGTGCGCTCACCTCCTTCTATGCCTATAAAATAGGCTATATACCTTTGTGGTTCACAAAACCTGGAACCTGCCAGAATAGTTGCAGTATAGAATGGATGTGAGGTCCTTCCTATGGTTATTTGGTACTTTTTTTTTTTTTTTGTTTTTTGGCCTGACCATACTTCTTACTTTTATGCAGGGGTTCATTTTTTTTTTTTTTTTTACCTTTACCTCCTGGGTTACCTTCTTGATCCCCCTTTAAATATAGGATGGCAATGCATGTAGGATTGAAGATTTTTCTCCATCTTTTGACTACCCTCTTTCCCACTCCCAGGGCATTGATATAGCTGCTGGAAGCAGGTACGTAGCGAAGTTCAACGGTTGGGCCTCATGCACATCGGATGTTTTTTCAGCTGCTCATAGGGTCATCTGGCGTTTTTGGTACTTGTTAAAATATCTTTATAGAGTTGGAACTCTCCTTTTGATAGCTGATGTGCATGGGTGCAGTGTTAGCCCTAACGTGTAGAAACATTATCCATATCTTGCTTTCCTGAAATCCAGTAAGACTGACTATATTTTTGCGTTTGCTGTTACAATGTTGTAAGTTGATCAGGATGTGTCAGATGTCTGTCTGCATTAAGGCTCCATGCACACGGGGTGTTTTAATAATGCTGGTAACGTTAGCTGTGTAAAGTCCTGTTAAAAAGGTGAGTTTTTTAGCGTTTTTGTATTAGCTTTTAGCGGCATGTTTGTGTTTTTTTTAGAGGTGTTTTTTTTTTTTTTTTACCTCAAAAAAGCGTCCACAAATGCTGGTTGCCGCGATTTACCGCCTTTTGCCACGTTTTTCAGCGTTAGAGCGTTTTTAGAGCTAAAAACTCATTTAGAAACCCACTAGTCCTGGGATTTTTTTCCTGCCAAAAAAACGTTGATTACAGTCTGTGTGCATGGACACATAGGATAACATGCTGGGGAGTTTACTGGCTGTAGAAAAAAATGTCAAAAGCCAAAAAGAGCCGCTGTAAAAATGTCCAGTGTGCATGAGAACTAATTGTGAAGAATAAATCTGTTGGATCTGGAAGGCAGCAAAGACACACAAATCATTTTAAGGAACTTTTCAGGGTGGACATATGGAGACTGTCAGTGCTAACTTATTTTGCTGTAGGGCTTCATTACTTAGAGAGTCACTGATTTGTAACTAGTTTGTGCAGATTTTGTATTGTGACCCATCACTGGCTACATCCTAGATTGTAAGCTCCAAGGAGCAGGGCCCTCCTTTCCCTCTTGTACTGAACTGTATTGTTGCTGTATTGTCTCCCGTTCTGTTGTAAAGCGCTGAGCAAACTATTGGCACTATATAAATCCTGAATAATAATAATAATGTGTGTTTTGTTCCAGTGACTCATTAAGTAGTTAAGGATGACCATCCAGGGGATTGCATCTTTAAAATCAAGTTGTCATTAGCAGCTCCTATTGTTTGACAGGTTATAATAAGATTGTGGATGTGAGAATAAGGCTCCATGCACAATGGGCTTTTAATAACGCTGGTAACATTAGCTGTGTAAAGTTGCGTTAAAAACGTGAGTTTTTCAGCATTTTTGCATTTGCGTTGAGCGGCGTTTGCTGCTTTTAGCGATGTTTTGCCGTGTTTGCGGTTTTTTTTTAGCGTGTTTTTTTTTTTTTTTTTTTTTGCTCAAAAAGTTGTCCAAAAATGCCATTTTGCTGTGATTTACAGCTAAAAAAACTTCTCTATAAACCCACTAGTTCTGGGTTTTTCCAGCCAAAAAACGCCCCTGCCAAAAAACGTTGATTACAGTCTATGCATGCATGGACACATAGGATAACAAGCTGGGAAGTTTACTGGCTGTAGCAAAAGATGTCAAAAGCCAAAAACAGCAGCTGTAAAAACGTCCAGGGTGCATGAGGACTAAGAATGTGGTGGTAGAATGACAAAAGACCTTTTCATTTCAGATTCACAGAAGTATGCATATTACCTAACTAAAGCTGGTCATAGGTGGATTGAAATTAGATTGGTTCAGTTGGGACAAGTCAAATTTTGATCCATCTATGGTCATTCCCATTCATGAGAAGTCAGTCTAATGATCAATTTCTCACAAACTGGCTTTTTGTTCGATCTGTGTATTCTGACAGAGAAGTCCCTGCTCTCAGAATACGGCAGCATAGCAGGGAGTATTCCCCCATCCACTTTGCTTCTGTGGATGGGGAATTCCACACAATATATGACCAGCTTAAGACTGCCTGTCATTTAGCATACTAAACCAAATATGCAGTTGGTTTATCCTTAAATTGGATCTGTTGTTCAAATTTAAAGCATGCCATTTAATAATAAAAGTGGCCTACTGCTTAAGATCGATATAACACAGAGTGCTGCCCCTCTCCTATTAGCCCCAATTCCCCCCCCCTTTCAGCTTTTCATTGGTAATTAAAAGATAATATCTTTAAAAGTGATAACGAATTAAAAGTGGATATTTTTTAAACCCGTACACGGTAAGGTATGGGTCAGGTCTGCCCTAATTGAAAACAATTAAGGCCTGAATTATGCAGCAGCAGTTTATAGGGATGTTATCCAAAGTTTGCCATACACTATTTGAATTTCATCCAGTTTCTTATGAACCAGCTAAAATTTGCTCCACAAGTGGCTCTGTTGCCACCCTCCCCACTTGACATCCTTCAATTGAAAAATTGCAGGACCTGGACTGAAAATTGTCAACAGAACAACAGCTGCAATTTCAAAACGCTCTGTTAAAATGACAGATCGTGGAACCGCATGTTCAGATGCCATTCATTTTAATGGCACCTGAAAACTCTGTGCGGTTCTGCCGTGATTGTCATGTGATAAAATGCGGCAAACCACATTGCGTGATGCGTGTTGCCCAAAAGAAGTTCAATTCACACGTTAATTCAAACAATTCATGTTAAAAACAGATAAATACATTCTGAAACAGCTGGTTGATGAATATGCAAGACATTGGTTAAAAAAATTACTTTCAGGCAGTTGTAACTCAAATGTGTAATTACTGAAAATTTGCTACCTTTATTGTGGATGACTGGTACACTTTAATATGATAACCTTTTAATGGAAATAATCAAAGTAAAGGTATGCGCGTGTGTGTATATTGTCTTTTAGGCTTCATGCACAGGGCTGCAAATGACCATATAATGTGCAATAAGGCCAGATATTTCCTACCAGGAGTGGCAGCTGCGGCAGACAGCCTGTACAAATCAATGACCGACAGCTGCTGTATTCTAATCGCTACATGCATACAGGTTCATAAGGGCCTCCCTGAAAACATTTATTTTTATGTAATTCATATCATGCTGCTCTAGACATTAAAGTGCTACTAAACCCAGGACCCTGCATTCACTATATCTGATCTTCGACAGTACACAGAACATGGAAATGCAACTATTGTAGTAAATAGTAACTGCTAAATACCTTTTCTCATCAGCAATATATAGCGGTCTTGTGACTTCTATCTGTGTCCAGCTGAGCACTGGCTAATCTTGTAGAAGGAGTTTTCGTTCTCCTCTGACTATTCTGTGACGCTGCATAAACCCTGACCTTCTGTCTGGACAGTGCTGATTTGGCCCAGTGCTGATCACATGCTCCCTCCCAAATAAAAAAAAAACAAAAAAAAAAAACTCTAGCAATGTACACTAAACTGAGCATGTTCAGAGTAACTCCTAGAGCTCTGTACTATCAGCAGATGGATTGTGGACAGTAGAATAAGGGGGAGGATCAGAGAAGACAAGATCAGACAGCCTGTTTACACAATGTGGAGGATTAACCCCTTAGGTTCCACAGTGAATATAACAAGCATGCTTTACTGCATATACAGACTGATTTCACTGTTGTGGGTTTAGTAACACTTTAAATGTGCATTGTAAATCCAAATGTCTGTCAGAGTTGTTTCTTTGGATATGTATACTGTAGACATGCGTGTGTGTGTTCACTTTATGTATTTTGTTTTGTAGGTCTCATCAAATGTACTATATGTTTGGTTTCCTGTTTCTGGTGTTCATAATACTACTGATAACTTGTTCAGAAGCTACCATCTTGCTGTGCTACTTCCATCTATGTGCAGAGGTACTTTACCCACTTTGCCCATATTGTGTTGTGTGCTATTCGAAGGATATTTCCAATAAATGATCTCTTGTTTGATTTGCTGACCACCCCCACATCTCACGAATTGGATTCTGGTCAATGGAGTCAATTTTGTTTTCAAAAGAGAACTGTTGTATTTTATGGTTTCACTTTAATACAAACCTTTATTGCTGAAATGAATCATGAATAAACACTGTACACCCTCCTCATTCCCTCTGTCCCCACTGTACCTCCCTGGGTGATGAGTTATCAGTGCCCACTCTTCTCTGTGCAGCGCTTCCAGGACATACCAGAGCGATTCTGATTGGACAGCCCTGGAACAGAGCATCGCTCTCATCTGTTCAGTAATCACTGCTGAGAAAAGAGGGAGAAGAGCGACGATTTCAAATCCCCAGACCGCGGCATTGGCTGTGTCGGCACTTGCCAGCTCTGCATCCACAGACATAAGTACACTAGGGACAGGGAGACAAGAACTGTGTACGGTGTTCACCTTTTTTAATTTAAAAAAAAAAAAAAAGGTGAATCAACCCTTTAAAAAAATATGTGGTTTACCTGCAATGAGACTACAGACTGTTCATTAAAAAGTAACTAGGAAGCTGTGCCCAAAAAAGCAGGCAAAGGGCAAAAGGCTAGTGCACCAGTATACCCTATGGTCTCTCGACAGCTGGTCTTTTCCACATAGCATACATTGTTCTGCACTGTGTTTGTTTCTGTGCAGAGGTGGCCATCTTGATGGAGGCATACATCTTTGTTTCCTTATGTCAGAGCCTCCAGCAAAGAGAACACTTGAGCAACACAATAGCAAATCTTCCAGGTACTGCTTAGGCACAATAAAAATGTTATAAATTGTTTCTTATAACATAACCAATATCTACTTTTTAAGTTCAAGTCCACTTTTTTATGCCTTTGCTATTATTGACCATACATACGTTTGTTGTTATACTTCTATTTTTTTTTTTTTACCGTTTTTCTTTTAGGATTACCATTGGTGGTGGAGGTCCTTCCTAACAAGCGGATTCACTGCTGTTTACCTTTTTATCTATGCAGTTCATTATTTCTTCTCTAAGCTTCAAATCACAGGAGCTGCCAGCACCATTTTGTACTTTGGATACACAATGATCATGGTTTTAATTTTTTTCCTGTTTACAGGTAGGTGATAATTATAGACAATTCCCAGAAACGTATTTGTTTTATACAAGTTTCCTGTTTTATGAAATGAGGATGTGCAAGAGATAATCAAGCTTTATCTTTCTAAGTAATCTTAAGGCTTAGATATTAAAACAAAGATCCCAATGCTTTAATTTTTAGCAACCAATTGCAGCTCAACTTTGACTGCTCTTTGTACAGCATAAAGGACTGTGCACAAGTGCACTGTTGCTCCCACTTGTACTGGATGATGAGAATGCCTTAAAGGTGTACCTGTCACAAGACAAATATTTGGGCTGTCATTGCAACCCTCCTTTTGAAACTTAATTTCCTGGCTTTAATGCCACAACTAGACACCTTGCCCTTCCTTGGAATTCTGTAAAGCTTTGCTAGAAACACGCATTTATGACGGTGAGCACCGGATGGAGTAAAGTGCCAGTGACCTGAGGGTCCATCTACATTGTATTGTTTTTAAAGTGTATTCAATTCAAATAATAAAACATTGTAATGCAAATAATAGTGAAACAAAAAAACAAATAATTTCCACAGCCAGAATAACTGAAGGGATAACTTCTATGTTTACTTTTTATAAATCTTTATAAAGATGGATTGGATTTCTTTTACTTTATCTTAGCACCAATAGTTATCAATTTTTCTCTGAGACGTTGAAAATTATCATTCCTTTTCTAGTATTCCTTTCTTGCTTTGCCATTAGGCCTTACTAATTAGCCGGCAGTGTTTGTTTTTCCATTTTTTGCCCTCGGAGTAGTACAGGTGGATGTAGAGTGACTCATTTTTCTCTGAAAGTTCATTCTCTGTACAGAAGTGATAAACCTGTCATCTGGTTGGTCTTAGTAATTGTTTTAAAAAACTGTGTGCTGCTCTTTACATATAGGAAAGTCTTATAGAGCATTCACTTAATGCTATCTTAAAGGTTCAAGCTGATATAAAGCTAAAATGTTTTTGTTTTTTGAATACAAGAGTAGAACCGCTGTCTGCTTTTGTTTTTCAATTTGCTATTCCCATTATGGAAAATTATTCAGTTTGTCTAGGGGACCACTGTCACCAGACCACTTAAAGTAAATGAAAACCCAACATTTTAAGTTGTCGCCAGAGCAGAAATAAAGGGAACTGGGACATTTCTCATTTTGAAGGGTTTTTAGTACAGTTCAGTACAAGTGAAGAAACTTTTCCCATTCAGGGCATGGATGGCAACAGAAGATTAAGAGGGTTTAAATCTTTTTACTGATCTATCCAAAATTATAAAAAGGTTTTGTTTTAGATGTACTTTAAGTCTACAAAAATTAATATTTTAGTTTTGGACAGAGGATGATAAGCTCATTCACCCACTGGCTTCATGTTGTTTCTTGGGGCTCTGGTACTGAGACTTCACCATCTAAGCCAGGAGTCTCCAAACTTTTTAAACAAAGTGTAAATTTACTGTCTTTCAAACTTTAGGGGGGCTATACTGTGGTCAACAGGAGTAGAAAATGTCCTGGTGTCAGTGGCAGTAAACCATGCCCAATCTTTGGTAGTAGGGGGAGGAATACTGCACTATCATTGGTGTTAGTGGGGGGAATAGTACCCCATTGTCGGTGTCCGTGGCAGGAACTATGCCCCACTGTTGCTGGGAGTGGGGGGAATAAAGCCTTAAGGGCCAGATAAAAACAAGCAAAGGGCTGTATCTGGCTCCCAGGCTGCAATTTGGAAATCACTGCTCTAAGCTACAGTTGTCCAGCTGCCATTGCTGCTTTGAGATGATCTTTTTCATCTTTCCTCTGAGGCTTATGCTGCTACTAAGTGGATGTTCTGTTGTAAAAGATTACAAATGGTGCATCCAATATGTAATTTATGCTATCATAGTATTCTATGACTGGACAGGGCTGAATGCTGTACTGAGTGGTCCTTCTCGGATGAGGGGTCTGGAGTCTTCAAAGTGTTTTGGGTGGGAAGACGTTTCCAATCCAGTGTCTAGGTCTTGCAGGAGATCGGCAAGCTATGTGTCGTAGGTCAGAGCTCCCATCAGGAGGCAGGTGTGGGCTCCAGCCAGAAGTCAGGAGCATAGGCGTAAGGAGGGCTTTATCTGTGGACAGGAGGCTCCCTTTCCAGGAGACAAATGGCTGCATGGGTAGTGTGTGTGCATGTCCAGTGTGGAAGACAGGTGCCTTGTCCGGTCAGACAACTGACATAGACAGTATTGGTCATTGTCTTGTGTTGCCAGGGAGCAGTTTGTGTGACCACAACACTCGCCAAGTATCTGTTCTAGCCTTAAGGAAAGGCATTTGGACAAGACTGGGAGCCTGAAAGAAACAGCCAGACGACTGAACAATTTGTGCTAAACTGATGCTGTGAAAAGTTGAAACCCCTGCATTGGAAGCCTGATGTAAGGACCTTTCCTTTTCAATAAAATTGAGCGGAAAAGCCCTGAAACTACAGTTGGGACTGGCATGACTCACTGAAATTGCTACTACCACAATTCCCCACAATATCCCAGTGTTCATGGATGTATGCCTGGAACACAGAATACCTGCATTCTGGGTATACATTCCTGAATGCATATGGGTCCTAAATGTGAGTAACAGCTCTGTCCAGCTGTAGCATATTTCAGCCTGGCATAGGATGGAGGAAGATTTTTACTAACAGGAATGGAATTTGTACATAAGACACATCCTACTTACTGTAAGTGTTGTCTCTTGTACTGATTTTTGTGATTTTGGCTGCACAGAGGCTTTAGGAGTAGTGCCTACTACCTCCAATAGAAAGAATACAGTTTTTCTCTGTTTTGGTGAAACGGATTGGTGGGATTGCTCCTGTAGAAAGTGAAGGATTCAAAATCTAACAACAAATACTTTGAGGGTCCATGCCAGAATCAGCCATATCGGGCATCTCGGAATCTTAGTCTGCTGAACTGTGATTTGCAGAAACTGAGACCAACTGATTTGCACGTACCATAGGTAGATCTGACTGGGGTTTATAAGAGGCACAGAAAATATAATCCTTGTGTGTCGAGCTCAACCTCACAAACACTGCAAATGATGTTCTGAACCAGATAGTCGCCCACAGCCACCTGATGAATGCCGTTCTACTTGGCACCAGACATCGTACAGAGTTTGCTATACATTTTACTGTGTTATAAAAACCTAATTAGAAAAAGAGTAGTGGCAGAAAATTGAAATGTCTGTTCAAACTAAACAGTGCCTGGTCATCAGAGCACATCAACAAAAACACTGATATAGGAAAATGGCGGTTCGGGCATAAAACAGTGCCCAACTACCAGAAGAACACATTCATAGCCCTAGAATAAGAAAGGATGTCACACCCTGTAAAACTGAAATCGAAGTAAAAAAAAAAAAAAAACATGCCCATGAAACTTCTGTCCCCCTCAACAATGCCCAGCCAGCTACAGGTGCTTGTTGGGTAAATACAACCAAAATCTCAAGTACATTAAAAGGTAATTATCCTTAACACAACAAGAGACCTGCTGCAGCCACTGACAAGTGAGTCTTCAGAGATGGGAACAGAAAAAACTGCCACAGCTCTGGTCTTGATAACTCTGCAAGGAATCCACAGATAAACTGTGCTGACTTGAATAGCCGAGTCCTGTGCTAACTGGAGGCAGGATGTCACTGGCAACAGCACAACACCAGTATACTTAAAGTAGTAGTAAACACAAAAGCAAACATTTATTATATTGCAGCTTACCAATTCTTAGATGTGATGGCTGCATTAGCTTTCAATTTTTAGGCTTTATTTCTTTTATTTTCACTTGGTTATCTGGCAAGTAAACCTTTTTTGTTTTTGTTTTTTAACAACAAGCTTTCCTGCTGTAATTGCTTATAACGTGTTAGCTGGAGTTCAGTTTCAGTTTGTTGGTGTATCAAAATCTGATAGTATATTTATCACCCCCCCCCCCCCAGATTGACAATGGTGCTGTCTAATTTTGCCTCCTGTGCTCCTTCATCCAGAGTGGGGGCATGCTAATACAGGAGGTTTGTTTCTGTCCCCTGAGGGGGGGGAAAAAACAAAAGAAAAAACTAATGCAGCCACCACATCTATTGTTTCGTAAGCTGTAACATATTACATTTATGGTTTAATACCGCTTTAATGAACTGAGAAAACCTGCGCTTGCTGGAGTGCCTTCCAGGAGTTCCAAGATCTGACCTGAATCTACCAGTGATTGTTTATAGCTAAAACAAATTTGCAATTTAAGTCAAAATTTAGCAGAGGGAGGGAGACATCCATTCTCCTAAGGACAGCAAGCGTAACTGAATAGGTTTGAGGTATCCAATGAGCTGGTCTTCATTTTTCTATGTGCCTAGTGGTCATTTCGCTTGTAGGCAGCAGTATAACCCTATGTTACCTAATTATAATCAAGCTGGGTCCCTCAATAGGCCACAGAGAAAAAGGACTGCCCACCTTTCCTATTTTCCTCCTCTCCTCCTCTGCAGCATGTTGTTTGATCTCCAGCCACAGGTGCTCTTTACTGTGGCCAGATCAGATAACAGATGGTTTGCACAGAGTTGCTGTAGACTATCTACAACACATTACTGCTCTCTTCACTGCCTTTATGAATACACTTGCTATAGTAAAGGAATAGTGTTTATAGTCAATCTAGATTGGTATAAGTGCTGCAGTTCAGGATGCACTCGTAAAATCACTTAACCGATCTACCCACATTTTAGTATTAAGGGATTTCTATAATTGTCTCCAGCTCTATTTGAAACACTGGCAGAAAAAGCACTAAATTAGCGCAGCTTAAGGTTGGATCTGTCTAAACATACATTAGGCAAGTAAAAACATACACTAGCAGACAACTGCCTCGCTGTGTCTTCACGGCAGATTGGAATTAATTAATCTACATTTTTTTCATGAAGTGGGCTTCCTTGAACGCAGACAGTCAGCCTTCTTTTTTTTTCTACAGACAGAATTGGCTGTGCATGCACATATTTACTGTGCTTCTAAAATGGAACTAGTAGTTAAAGCAATGTAACTACCTTGCTTGGTTGTATAT